CCAACCCCAAAAAAGTCGCGTTGGGCATCCAAATTCACCCCAAAACGACCAACGACCACAGAGCCATCACCAAGCTTCTCGCTCGAGAAAAAATTTGAGTTTCACACTCACACCCTCCTCGAAGACAAAAAGTTGATCGCCATTATCAAAGGCCTTCATAATCAAATGGCACTCCCAGAAATTCAGGCCAAACTCGAGGAATTAGGATTCACCCCTTCAGAAATCCAATTCTATAGAATGGGCAACCGCAAAACGGCGACCAATATGGTCAAAATGCTCCTCCCTAAGGAGCAGACCAGCATCTTTGAGGTCAAGTACCTCCTAAATCTCGCAGTAGCTATCGAACCCCAAAGGCATCCCCAAACAAACATCAGGCACATTCCTCAGTGCAAGAGGTGCCAACAATTCGGCCACACAATGACAAACTGCATGGCAAAACCATTCTGCCACAAGTGCGCTCAACAGCACTTCTACTCAGAATGCAAAAAGCCGAGAGACATCCCGGCTAAATGCATAAACTGCGAGGGTCGCCATCCGGCAAGCTACTTCTCTTGCCCCAAAAACCCAAATTTCCTTGCCCAAAAGCAAGAAAAAGCCAAGACAGCCAGCTTTCAGAACAAAGTCTCACCTGGCATCTCCTACGCCGCCAAAGCTTCCGAAGCCCAGGCTCAAGCCCCCCCCAAGCCCGCCGCTTCAAACCCCCCTGTTCAAGCGGCCCAAAAAGCCCCCCGTGAATCCCAAAACGCCCCGCCCCGCGCCCCACAGAACACCCGCATTAACCCTGCGCTAATGCAATTACTCCTCATGCCTGAGAGCGAAATCCAGGCCAAAATCGACAAAATTGCTGCCATGATTGGCAATTGTCCGGCTCTTCAAGCACTGGCATGAATATAAAACCAGCCGGCGTCCACATCGTTTCCTGGAACGCTAACTCTTTGTACCCCAAAAAGTACGAATTTGAAGGCTACCTCCGGGAAGACGATGTGGACATCGCGTTAATCCAGGAGACTTTTCTGCAAACTCAAACACTTTCCAAATTAACAATTACAAAATCTACCGTAACGACCGCCCCAACAGTCGAGGGAGCGGCACTGCCATTATTGTCAAAAACTCCATTTCCCACTCCCCAAACCCCCTTATCGCCAACACCTCAATCGAACACACGTCGATCACCCTTAACATGGAAAACTCAGAGATCCTAATTATTTCGGCCTACAAACCACCCAATACACGTACAACCGAACTAGATTACTCGAACCTTCTAAATCGAAACATCCCGACACTACTCGCTGGAGATTTGAACTCCAAAAACACTTCCTGGGGCTGCAGGAAAACAAACCCTGAGGGGCGCAAGCTCCTCAACTACGCACAAGACTTACAATTCCAAATTCATGCTCCCTCAGAGCCAACACACTATGACCACAATACCCCCGACATTCTCGACATTGCCATTTCCAAAGACATTTACCACATCGTCCACGTTACAAACTCCGATTCTCTTAGTTCTGACCACAACCCTATCATAATCGACATTAACGTACAGTACACTAACAACCCGTTAGCCCCATAGCCCCAATTTCTTACACAGACTGGGACGCCCTTGCATACCACCTTGGAGAGGCTCAAATCTCTGTCCACCCTCCGCAAAACTTAGAAGACCTAAACAACTTAACAGCCCAAATCACTGATACCATCACC